GGAGAGGGAGAAGCAGGCTTCCCGCCAAGCAGGGAGCCCAATGCGGGGCCCTGGGATCATGACCTGAGCCGAAGGCAGACGCTTAACGACTGAACCACCCAAGCGCCCCTGAATGCCTTTATCCGTATGAGAAACTCAGGTGCCCACAAACACCAGAAAGAAATGGGGTGGGGGAGTGTCCTGAGAATTCCATGATTATTCTTCCAAACAGATAGACCACTGGGCCTCTTTGGTGTGAGTTCTCTCTACAGATATGAAAACAGCTAGAGTTTAGGAGGCAAGAACTGTGAGGTTTTTTGGTCTTTTTTTAATGTACTCTTTCCAGTACATTCTACAGATTTATCAGTTCAGGCAAAGAGAAGATGATACAGGCTCATTGTGGCTCGGATTTATTTTTACTTTCCCATTTTTTCAAGGATGGGCATCCATTTGGGACCACCATGGGCGGAAACTGGGTTGGCTTCCATTAGCCTTAGTTGATGGCTGAGAGCGAAGGTGGGCTCTATTTGAGTAACAGGAAGTCCTTGGGAAGGAATTAATTAGTACATACACTGATGATCATTAGTTTCTAAATGTGGAAACAAATTCAATACTGTCTTCAAAGCATTTGTTTTAATCTGTCAGCCCTACTGTCCTGTGGGGAATTGACAAAAATGAAGTCCCGTAACTGGGTCAGTAATTGACCATATTTAGACAGATTTTAATCCTGCCCCCGTTTCTACCACTTTTTAATTGTGTGGATAAGTAATACAGAGAGGAAATAGATATTTTGAGCCATCTTAATTAGTTTTGTTGTCTCACATGTTTTGACATCCTGTTAACATGTTGCAAGGCATTTTGATTTGATAAAATGTGCTGTTAACAAAGGGACTTCCCATCATGCTTTATCGAAGTTGAGTGATAAAAAAATAAAATTTAGTAGCACTAGAGCATTTCGAAATTTAGTCTTCAAGAGAGAATTATATTTGCTGTACACCTGTTCTATGCTCTTGTCTGGTTCTGGGAAGCCAGGACGACAGCTGCAGGCTCTGGAGACAGAATGCTCAGGTTTGAATTCTTGCTCGTCTGGTTCTTAGCTGTGTGATCCTCCCCACCAAGCTCTCCTAATCTCTGATCATACCCTGTAAACTGTAAAAGGGAGATCATAGAACTACCAACCTCATAGGGGCATTGGAAGAATTAAATGGGATCAACCAAAAAGAGTGCTTAGCTCCACACCTGGCCCGGAATCAGCACTAATAAAATAATCTAGTAGTTTCAGAAGAGTAGCAGTTGGAGCAGAGTTACAGAAGCAAGATGCCAGGCAATAAGAAGCTATTCTTAAATGCTTTTCTTAAAATAAGAGTGTATGTTGTAGAGATACAGCTCTAAGCAGTCATTTTCAAACAGGAGTATGGGCCAGGGTTCCCTGCGGGACTGGTTAAAACACAGGTCTCTGGGCTCCCCTCCTACTTACAGTGTCTGAGTAAGTCTGGGCTGGGGCCAGAGGATTTGCATTTCTAACAAGTTCCCAAAGGTGATGCTGATGCTGCAGATCCAGAGACCATACTCTGAAAACCACGGACGTAAATAAAGTAGGTGTTTAAATTGTGCACAAAAGACACTGTCAAGAGATAGAAAAATAACAGTAAGACTTGTTTGGAGCGAGTAAGTTCCTATCGTCAAAGAAGCAAAAGGCCTCTCATAAATGTAAACTTAAAAGACATAATTTGTCTTTAATTGGGAGGGGAGGGGGGAAATATAGGACTTTGCCCAGATATAAAAATTCAGTGGGAGTGGGAGGTCCAGGGTTCCAGGTACGGAATGAATGGGTCACAGGAATGAAAGACACAGCCCAGGGAATAGTCAATGGTATTGTGCTAGCGCTGGGGGTGACAGATAGTGGGCACACGGGTGGCATGTGTCTGTGCTACAGCGTACCCTGCAGAGTTGTCGGGTCACTGTGTTGTGCACCTGAAACTGATATAACCTTGTACGTCAACTGTACTCCAATTGGAAAAGGTCAGTGGACCTGTAAGTGACTGGTCTGTGGTGACGCATCAAGTCCGAAGAAGCTATACGGTTAGGATCAGGAATCTTGGAGACATATCTACTCTTCCTTCCCCTAGACAATGATATCTCCCCCATGTTTATAAACATATGTTTATAGACTGATTATATAGGCTACCGAAGATCTGGTGGTGAGCCCTAATATTTCACAGATTTCCCTTAAACACACACACACACACGCATACACACACACACAAGTAGTCTTTAAATACTCTGAAAACATTCATAAAATACATTTGAAGGTGACAGTTTTCCTTTTCTCAACTGTCTCCCAACAGTTCAAAGATATATTGGGGTTTCCGGAAAATATGTGCACATTTTAAAAAATTTTTATCTACCCCGAGCATGACGTCTGAGTGCACAGGACACAGTTTAAGGATGCACATGCTTACCCTGAACTTGTGTCTGTTCAATGCCACTGAGCTACAGATCGGCATCGACACGTCCTTTTGTTACCCATATAGATCACTTCTGCCATAGACTTCCATACATAGGCTTTATAAAGAATATAAAATAATCATTGAACTCATCTCTGCTGTCTCTTATACTTTTCTAGTGTTCTCCAAAAGCAATGTAAACTGTGCATTTTGCTCTTGCAGAGCACATTATCCTATCATTTGAGATTTAACATTTTAACAATACCACCATTAAGTATGAGCCTATAAAATTTCACCTAACGCCAAGGAAGACAAGCAACAGCTTGAACTGTCCCTTGTCAGTTGGCTCTTGCCCACGTCGTCAGTTTTTGCATGTGTTTTATTGAGATATTTTGTACTTTAGATTCACTCCTTCTCAATTCTTATATCGACTACAGCCAAACCTCCTTTAGTGCTTGGGAGCATGGTTCCGCTCGGTTCTCACCCCTGTTCTCACGGTTTTCTATTTGTTCTGTTCTGCCATCTGATCTAGAGTCCCCTGGCCCCGCCAGCATCCCGCTGAGAGTTCAGAACTCTTGGCGACGTTCCCAGTTTTTCTCCCAGTCAGGTAAAATGCATCCTGGGTAGTTGTACTTCTTCTGTGCAAAAATCCGTGTTGGGGGCAGCCAGTAATGTGTGGTATTTTTCTTCATTTCTGATTTCAGAAAAAAAATTTCTGACACACAGTTAGCAAAGAGCTAGTTCTTTAATAATAGCGCCACTTCTACTAAAATTGGAAGGAAATTCTAGAAACTTTTGGAAGGAAATTTGTAGAATTTTTCTTTGATTTTAAAAATCTAAGGAAATACTATTCAGCTCTTTCTTTTTTTTAAAAAAAAAATAGACATTCAAAATCATTCTTTGTCCTCTTCTCTTTTTTTTAAACAAGGGTTAGAAGCATTTACCAGGAGTTGGTAATGGTTCTCTTGTTAACTGTGTCCCTCTCTTTACTTCCTGGATGATGTTTGGCCTCTCTCTGTGTGATGATTCTCCATGTCAGACAGTGAGGGAACCGGGCCAGCAAGCGGCAAGGGAATGCAAGGGGCATTAAACACGAGCACCTACAGTTTTTGCTTCCTATAGTCTAGTCCCTGGTGCTAATTGATGTGATCAATCCTACTACACTGGTCATAACTCCTTTCGGTGATGGGTACAAATTGCTTCAAGGGTCTGCTTTATTATGATTTTCTAATGCTCTTGGCTTACAAAAAAAAAAAAATTGATCTGAGGCTGACATAGGAACCATGTTCCACTCAGAGGATCAGAGAAAAATACTGTTAGAAGCTGCTCACATTGTGATCTTATTTTTCTTTCTTTCTGTACAGTGGAGTCTCCGGGCAGTGAAAAGTCACCTGTAACTACACCTGTAAGTAGCTCATCTTAAGGAATAAGATCCTGCATTGAGTGTGATTTTAATTTGTAAAGTATTTGATTTGCTGAAAGAGGATCCAATCAAAAATGGGCTCTAAGTGACTGTAGAAGAATAATTAAAAGTCATGTGTAATGCTGTCAGGTGAAATTTGAAGAAAAACATGGATTATCATTATGCAGAGTGGTGATCATGCTTGGAAACAAAATGGTAAGTGAGTCAGGAGAGTAAATCTAATGAAGGGGACGATAGGAATTAGTATTAAAACATGCAACTCCTCTAGGCATTCAAAATCATTTTTTTAACTGAGAACAATGCTTCTACATGGTGTAGTGTTGGCAGGCAGGGCCCAGCCAGAACTCTCTGGGAGACCCAAGCTGTTCTTGTTGCACTCCTTCTCACAATCAATATATCCTGAATAACATTAACTGTCCATTTAGTTTACAATTTTTAATTTTGATGAGATCAAAAAAAGCATTTGCAAAAAGTAAACATCAACGCACATTGATGTTGTAGAAATTGCTTGCTGCTGAATTGTATGTAACACTCGCCGTAGACCTACTCTTCCCTAAACTGAGAGTTCCCAATGCTGGGCCTGTCACCCTTGTTCACCCTCTGAAATTCCCACTGGTTTGGAGCCCTCCTCTGTGGCACACTCAACTGTAGGATTCCTGTGAGCCCCCAGGTGTCGCCGCGTAACGGTCATGGTACCTTTGATTCCAGATTGACTAACATATGACCCGGCAGATGTTGTATAACTTCTTAGAGCCTTTTCTTCCTTGATTGTGCAATGAGATAATAATCCCACTTGACAGGGGGGTGTGGGCTTTAATTGAAATAATTACATGGGCCGTCTAGTACTGTGGCTGATCCATGAATGAATCCTCCTCAGTGGCTAATCCAAAAGGCCCACCATAGCCAATACCAGTTCTTACCTATAGACAGATTGTGTCACTTTGAGAGTTCCTGAGTGCCTGTGCAGAATGGAGAAAGGGTCCCATAACCCTCAATATTTCCAGCCACATTCCAGAACTAGCAACCATTTGTCAGGCTCAGTATCTGGCCGGTACCCTGGGGATCTTGAGTCTCCTGGGAAGCTGAGTATAGCCATGTTGGGTGGGAACCCCCAGAAGGCTCCTGGGGCTGGTCCATGGCACAGATTGAAGAGTGTAACATAACGCGTTGATTTCCATTTGAAGTTATGTGGGAGCAACAATGCCACGCTCTTCTTACACCCCCCGGGCAGGGGCGGAGAGGAAGCGTGCCCTGAAGAGATACTTTCTTATTTCTGATTCACAGAAACCAGAACAAGAAAGAAGCAAATTACTGACCTAAGTGAATTCTCTGAGAATACCCACCCAAATTTGACATTCTTTCAATGATAAATAGCTCTTCATAGAATAGAAAAGTAAAAGAAATTTGAACACAAGAGAAGCTTGAAGAGGCAGTAAGCTTTGATTGTGCTGACCTCAGTAGACTCAGACCGTTTTCGGTCAGACTTGGAGTGGCCCAAAGCTAGAGTCAGAGTCTATGAAGGGGAGAGAAGGAGAGGCGTTACCCAGCATGAAGTGGTTCCATCCATTTATTCAACGAACATTTATTGAAGGCCTAAAAGTGCAAGGTTTTGGGATACTTGGGATAAAGGGCCCTCTCTGCCCTTCAGGAAACCGAACGCCAAAGGAAGATACAGATTTGTAAACAGATAAGTTATAGAACAAAGTGGGTTAAATGCTCTCCATTCTTTCTCTAGCACCTTTTGTATTTCTTTTACAATAGTTATCACACTGTCTTCTGGTGTCACTTATATATTGGCCCCTCCCTCACGCCCACCCTCTCCCCACACACTCAGTTGTAAGCTCCACAGGGCTGGGACCCTTGGCCGGGTGGTATCCCCATAGTAGTTGCTCAGCAAGTAGTCCCCAAAGGAAGGAACGTGGTCACTTTTCTTTCTTTTGTGTATCACGAAGTATCTTCCTCTTTATCTTACTCTGAAAATGCTCATTGTTTTTCTGCCTTCCTTTTAAACAAATATTCCCTATTTTCTGCTGTGCTCAGTCTCTCTACCCCACACTCCTCCCTTCTGTTTGCTTACTCCTACTTATTCTTGCAGTTACTGCCTAGTGAAATCTGAAAATTAAATAATTCCTAATTGTTGCTCTTTTCTTCCTACTGGACTCCCTCTGGCTTTATTCATAACCACATCCTTTTTCCTAAAAAGACAAAGAAGGGCCATGCCCTTGAGAGAGGTTCTGAACATTGTATCTGCTTCCAAGTTTTAGGAAAATGCCAAGTGGAGCCAACCTCTAACACCATTAATTCCAAATTTCTTATCTGGAATCCCATTTGGATGACATTTTATGGCCATCCGAGGGAACTTGGGAAATTTTGAATTATATACAATTAAATAGCTTTTCTCCTACATAACATGTCAGAGCCTTTAGTTTGCTCATGTGCACTATGAATCCCAAGAGTGGCATACAGGAAATACGTTTCCCTACCCTATTTGCCCACCTTTCCTTGACTTTTTGTGGTCATCATCCTAACCATTTGCAGACACCACAGCAAGAACATCAATGGAGGCTCATATTTCATATGTCTAAATACATTAAAGTTATCAATATTTATATTGTTATAAATCAAGCAACACCCATGGCCTGGCCTGCATTCTTAGCCTGGAGACACTTCCCCGGGCTAGCCCAGCCTTGGTGCACCTAAATGGTAGCATGGATCTGTTGGGCACAAGGCAGGGCCAAAGGTGAGCTGGCCCAAGTATCTTGGGCAGTAACTAGACCCATCTAAGCTTTGGACAGGACTGACCCTGTCCAGCTTCTCAGGCAGCCCGGGTAAATAGATTCTGCCTCCTCCCCACCCTGCCCCAGACTCTCCCCCTCCTCCCTAATGCCTCCACCCTGTCTTGTTGCTTCTCTCAAGATTCCCAGGCAGTTCTAAATGCCTCCCCAAACCACCCCCATCGGAACAAAGGGAAGGGAAGAGGCGCAGTTACTGGGGAATGTGGTTTGCCTTGGCACCTACTCTGGGTGTCGGGAGAAGCCAAGTTTAAACACCACAGCCCCCACCCCTTCGGGAGGTTTCCCAGAGACCAGCTGTGATTTCTCTTCCCCTGTGGACCTGCCCCATCTCGTATATTCTGTAACCTGGGTGCCCACTTCTCTCATTATTCCTGTTCATTCACTTGGTGCCAAACTCACAAAGACCTTCAAAAAAAAAAAAAAAAAGCCTTTGGGTTTGAATGTTGGTTACGTGGGCCCCAGGGCAGGGACTTCCTCGTGCCTGGATCACAGGTGATGCCGGTGAGCATTGGCGCGTTTAAATAACCCACTTTAGAGACAGCTGATAGGGAAACGCAATAGCGGTATAAAAGCTTAGTTCTGTAGTGTGGCAAACACCACTTCTCACAAAAGGCAGCTCTGTTGAAATAAGCTTGCCCATGTGCTTGGACCAGTATCCATATGCAGAATGAGTATCTCATGCTCAGAAGCGTGATTACATTGAAGAAATCACTTCTGAAAGAAAGGAAGCTAAAGCCTTCCCATTGCCAGTGGCTGATTACTTCCATGTTTTCATTAGCTCCAAAAAGGGTCACAGCATCATACCAGCGTCTTGGACGTCAACCAAAGAGGGACGAAGATTAAAAAGTGGTTTCCATTGACAAAGAGGGTCTTTCAGTGTGTAGGGGCTTCTGCTTCCGCACGTCCGTCTGCGTGCTGGTTTGTAAGCTGATTGCGTCCCTTGCCCTGGCCTGGCCTTGAGGACGTGGCTTAGCTCTGATCACGGTTTTATTTTCTAAGCAGTTTAAGTTCTGGGCATGGGACCCAGAAGAGGAGCGCCGGCGACAGGAAAAATGGCAACAGGAGCAGGAACGTTTGCTCCAGGTAGGACTGGGGTTACTGCTTTGTTTTTTCTATTAGATGCTGCTCTCTTAATTACTATTGTATTAGATAAATTTTTAGCACAGGAAATGCATGGAATTAGATTCTTCTCAGGAGCTGGTGAATCTAAGTCAGTCCATCTTGTGCCTTTACAACAAAGTGTCCTGTGTCTAATTCCTCTTGCCAGAGGTTACACTGATGAGCACAATGAAAAAGCATGAAGGAGGGCACTGGGCGTTATACACAACTGATGAATTATTGAACTCTACATCTGAAACTAATGATGTACTATATGTTGGCTAATTGGATTTATATAAAAATAAAAAATAAATTAAAAAAAGAAAAAGTATTTCACTTAAAAAAATATATATCCAAGTGGTCGCCTGGCTGGCTCAGTTGGTAGAGCATGTGACTCTTGATCTTGGGGTTGTGAGTTTGAGCCCCACGCTGGGTGTAGAGATTACTTAGAAGTAAAATCTTCAGGGGCGCCTGGGTGGCTCAGTTGGTTAAGCAGCTGCCTTCGACTCAGGTCATGATCCCGGGGTCCTGGAATCGAGCCCCACGTTGGGCTCCCTACTCAGTGGGAGTCTGCTTCTTCTTTTCCCTTTCCCCTCCACCCCCCACTCATGCCCTCTCTCTCAAATAAATAAAATCTTAAAAAATTAATAAATAAAATCTTTAAAAAAAAACCCCAAGTATTAGGGGCCAACCGGTCCATTTGTCACCTCCTTAGTGGCCAATCAAATTCCATTCCAAGTAGCAGTGGGAATGAATTATCAAAAAGGTATTTGATAGCATACATGTGAAATAAATTTGGCCTGGGTCTTGTTCCTTAAGTAGAAATGTTTGCTCCACCCTTGAGTAAAGGCTGCTTATTTTTAATTCTAGAAAAGTTCTGGGAGTAAATGTATCATGCTTCTACTTGTTTCAAGCCAGTTTTGTAGAGTAACAGGGCTTCAAAAAGTAACCTAGTAACCTTAGAAACTAACCTGAGTACTTGGGTGTGCCAAGAACTGGCATATTTTTTGGTATTTGACATATCTAGTCTAATTTAATCCTCATAAAACTCTTCAAAGTATGTCTTATTAGCCCCATCTTGCAACTGAAGAAACTAAGCTTCAAAGAAATTATCTTAACTGCTCAAGGTCACACAGTGAACAGTTGTTGAGCCTGATTTCAAGTCCAAATCTGTATGACATTAAAACTCATGTTCTCTCCACTATATTCCCAATAGTACTGATTTTTACTAAAAGATTGTAAAGGAGAAAAATGTTAAATCTCATTAATTTTGATGACTTTACACTGCTGTATTTTACTTTTTTTTTTTTTCCTTATCTTTTTGCTCTGACCCTCTTGGCTTAATTCCCAGGGGGTGGGAGCAGGGGGCAGTTCAGGTAACTAATTGTCGTGTGGCTTTAGGCCTGCCAGTTAAGCTTAACACTTTTCACAATTGCACAGGGGTAAATCTTCAACCACAAATTGCACAGGGATAAATACCAACCAGATTCAGCAAAGTCCCACAGCTTTTGGGACTTTTGGGTCCATTGGGAGACCCCAGACCAGCCCTGGCCACCTGCTAGTCCCTTGAAAACCAGATGCCTGTTCCCCAGCTACATGGTGAACAGCTCAGAGTCAGAGAGTCTGCAGAGTAAGAAGATAAGCAAGTGTGCTTCCCATGGTGGCGCCCTGTCAGTTACACTCTGAAAGGTGACCGCAGTTGCAGATGCAGACAGATATATTTTTGTCCTACCGAATTGTTACCCGAGGTGGCACGGCAGGGTGTGGGCTCTGGGGCAAGGCATATGTGCGAGTTTGTTGGTGTGTGCAGGTGTGTGTATTGGGTATGCATGTATGTATGCTGCCCACCAACGTGTGTGTTGGTGTGCACACGTGTACCGAGGTGTGTGTGTGTGTGTGTGTGTGTGTGTGTGGTACAGACGTACAGCATCTTTCATTCCCTGCATCACCTCCGTTCATCCTCCCGGGGAGGGGAACCTGGGGAGGGGTTTTCCTAGAACCAAGAAACTGAAGCTTTGCTTGTTTTGTTAAGTTTTAGAGTCTGTTTCCCCTATTCTGAAAGGCCCCTGAAGTCCCTCTCAGAAACTTTATAAGATTAGGTTTTGAGAACAAAATTTTTACCTGGAGTTAAAAGCCCACCATGAGTTGACCAATGATGGTTTTTCTAGAGCATTCATGAGAACACCAGGCTCCAGATAATCCCAGTAAAGCCCTTTTGCTCCTCAGATAATGACATAACCGGTAATACCTGGAGGAGATCTCAGTGCCTCCCCCAGGAGGATAAAAGACTTGTTTTAGCCTCAGAGAGAAGATTGACAATAATTAGACGAAAACATTTGACTGTGTGTGGTACACTTCAGTGATGTCTCTGTCCTGTCAGGGGCACCATTCCCAAGGCATCCAGGGTGTCCGCTCTCATTTCAAGCATTAATCTTAATCTCCATTTAACCATTTCTTCTAGTCAGCTGTCCAAGGGACTCCAGTCACATTTTTAAAGCCATCCTTATTCAGAGTATTTTTTTTTTCTCCAGAAGTGGTGATTAGTGCTGTACTGTTTCTGAAAATAGGGCTGGCAGTTCTGATATTGAAGACTTCTAATGGGCTGTTTAAAAGCTACTCTTAATTCAGAAGTTACTGAAACCTGGGAAGATTCCATTTTGGTAGAATGGCTACAAGTAAAGAGTAATTCAGCTACTCAGCTAATTATCATCTTGTCTACTCCGGACCTTTATGCATTGTCTGTCTTGTACACCTACAAGTTTTTGTTTTTTTGTTGTTTTGTCTTTTATCAAACTCTCTCAGTAGCCACATATTTCTATTAGTGAAACGGCAAAACTCATCTCTGAAGGGCCCAGCAGAAACAAACCATTGGTTTAGCCTACTGTCCCAGGACAAAAGCCAAGTTACGGAAGATCTTAGAATCGTTCAGTCTGTCTTTTCTCTTTCCATAAGCAAATGTCTACTCATATATTTGAGAACAAATCTATAACACACCAGGGGCGCCTGGGTGGCTCAGTCGTTAAGCGTCTGCCTTCGGCTCAGGTCATGGTCCCAGGGTCCTGGGATCGAGCCCCACATCGGGCTCCCTGCTCGGCGGGAAGCCTGCTTCTCCCTCTCCCACTCCCCCTGCTTGTGTTCCCTCTCTCGCTGTGTCTCTATCAAATAAATAAATAAAATCTTTAAAAAAAAAAAAATCTATAACACACCAACAACAGAAAAGAGTGTTCTCTGGTAAGATTGTTATGTTCCTAATATGTTGGAGTGCCACGAAATACCATTCCCCTTTTGTTGCATGAATAGATCAGACTCAGAATGTTACAACACGAAGATAGTCTTGCAATATATTGTATATGGTGGTTTAGAGGGCGGAAGTGTCCTAGTGGCGTATGCAATGGTCAGTTCAGGGACTAACTATCTGTGGAAATTCTGTAACAGGAGAGATACCAGAAGGAACAGAACAAGCTGAAAGAAGAGTGGGAAAAGGCCCAGAAGGAGGTGGAAGAGGAGGAACGCAGATACTATGAGGAGGTAGGAAATTCCCAAGAAGGAATTTGACTTGTGGTTTTGATTTCTCAAAGTTTATCGGTGCTTTTTTTTTGTCTGTGGTGAATGTATGCACGTGGCTGTGTCTCATTCTCCTTACTCACATCAGAGCCCTGTCAACTTCTTCGAAGAGTCATATCCTATAGGATCTAAAAGACCACAATTCCCCCAAATTTAGTTTGTGGTAAGGGCATGTTGAGTCATGGTCAAGGAAGACAATATAATTTTATCTGTTCTCTAGTCAGAGCGTCAGATTCTTGATTTACCTTAGATGACATGAAAGTATCTATTTGTGTGTTTGCTTGAGGAAAGCATGTTTGGTGGTAGTGAATTAATTTTGTGAGTATAATTTTGATATTGAGGCTAAGTGAATCCTTACTGACTACATTCACTATATGGTACTAAAGAGACTTGGAGGGAGGAGACTTTGGTTTTGTTTGTCTCATTTTTTTAGATGAACAAACCAGCCCACATTAGAGAATTGGAAGGGAGCTACATTTAATGTGTATTATCTAAAATTTGTTTATGATGAATTTTGTTGTGAATTTATCTTCAGTAATTTTTGTGCATAATCTGATCCTTAAAAGCATTTCTAATTAGGCTTCTTGAATCAGACTAAGTAATTTGTTTTTCCAAATTAAATGCTAATTTCTAAATCATTGCCCATAGAAAGTGTTATCTGATTTACATGCTTTTAGAAAATAAGACCCTTTTTTTAATGCCCTGCTTGTTTGCACATAATCTGATTTTTTTTTAAGTTCCTTAATGAAATTTTTCTCTTGACAAATGTGATTTTATTTTCTTTTTTCCCTTTCATTAATTACTGTCCCTCCCTTTAGGAGCGCAAAATAATTGAAGACACTGTGGTTCCATTTACTCTTTCTTCAAGTTCTGCAGACCAGCTGTCTACATCCTCCTCTGTGACTGAAGGCAGTGGGAAAATGGTGAGACCATAGATTAAAAGCAATTTGTGAAATAAATAAACCTAAATAGAAGTATAAAACAATAAAGCCAAGTTTTCCACCAGTTTAAATGCAGGACTGACTATTTCCCTAGAATCACATCAGCTACCGTGTGGCCATTGTACGCCATGGTGCTGTCACTATCATGGTCAGACTCAGTCATTTCCGGGGGGAGGGGCAGTGAAATCATTACTGGGACCAGATCTGCTCCCACAGGCTGGCAACCAAAGTCTCTCTGCACTGGCTGGAGAGATCCTGATTGGTGGAGCCATTTGCTGGAATGTCCCTCTGACTGCCCATCATTCACTCATTCAACAGACATGCATCCCTCTCCTCCACACCATACGTTCCTTTGCACTGGATGGTAGCCAACCATGTACCCCCCACTGGCCTCCGTGAAAGTTGCTTCTAACCCACTCTTAAAATTCCACATGAAATTTATATGTGTCCTCAAGGGCTGGAGAGAGCACAGAAAGGGTGGTCTACCTCCATATCCCCCAAGTAAGGTTGTGGAGCTACTGAACAAAGGACACACCAAGACTTGAATAGTCTGTAATCTTCATTTAAAAAAAAAAAAAAAGATGGGCCCATGACAGCCATTTCTCCTAACTGAACAGTCCTATGATTTTGTTTTATTTTGAAAGGTGGGTTTTCTGACCAATTCTCTTTCATGATAACTTTCAAAAGAGATCCAGATTACACATTTATTTCAAATCATTGGAAACCAGTTACTATTCAGTTAATTTGGACAATTGTTCTTTAAATTGTAGGCAATGGGATTGGAAAAAAATGTTTCAAATATCCCATGGCCAGAGATGAGTGTTGTCCAGTGTGTTTAAAAATTATATTCAGGGGTGCCTAGGTGGCTCAGTCAGTTAAGCTTCCGACTCTTGGTTTCTGCTTAGGTCATGATCTCATGGGTCATGGGATCAAGCCCCGAGTTGTGCTCTTTGCTCAGCAGGGAGTCTGCTTGAGATTCTCTCCCTCCCTCTGCCCCACCCCCACATGCACATGTGTGAGCCCATGTGCATTCCCTCTCTCTCAATAAATAAATAATAATAATATTATCCTTGTTTTCTCAATCAGAATAAGATGGACTTGGAAAACTGTCAAGAGGGAGAACAAGAGACAAGACAGAAGAAACCACTCCAGGGGGACAACGATGATTTATTGCTTAAGGCTCGGCAAAATCATCCACCAGAGGAAATGGGCAGGTATGAACTATATCAGGCTATCCTAAATGTGCAAAGCCAGACTCTGCCTGTTCGCTCCGCAGAAAGAGTAACCATTTCTAATGCAAATCATATTCAGCTTTGAAATTATCATTCCACTAATACATTACGTATTGCTTAAACACACTCCAATAGCTCTGAAGTCAGTCTTCATGCTATTGAATACAAATCGCTTTATTTTTAAATAGGTGAAATCTTTTTTAAGTAAGGGGAGATAGTATATATCATCACAGGAGCACGTTGTCACTTCAAAGCCCCAAATCTAGCTATCATTCACCTGAAATGGTTAATGTGTCTGCAGGGATAGAGGTTGAAATGAGGCCCTAGGGTCCTACCCATGGTGGGTTCACTGTGGACCTGGACTTTATCATCAGTATCCTCTGAGCTGTGAGAAGCCACATTTATTCTGGGTGACAATATAAAGGATAACTAACAAATGATTGCTTGTGGATAATTATCCCACCCCATGGGTTCCAGTATGTTCCATGGGAGATCCAAACGGGGTACCCAGAAACCCCTGGATCATTCAGAGCTAGCTCAAACTGGAGCAGAGTCTGGTTGTAGCTATGGGGAGTAGTGGGTTTATTGATGCCACCCTGAGCCTAACCTAGAAGGGACCCCCAGAATCCCAGGAAGTTGGCAGTACCCTGCCAACAGCAAGTTCTTTATGAGATAGATGTTTGCTCCTGGGGCTCTGAGTTACCACAGAGATATTGGCAAGTGTGCAAGCATGTGCACACATGCACATACACAAGTGTGCGGAGATACACACGTGTGTGCACACACTGCATCCTCAGAGAGACCCAAAGACATGAGAGGTTAAGTGTCATTTTCAAAGACTGTCCAATTTCAAAGTTTGGCTGGGGGGCGCCTGGGTGGCTCAGTCGGTTAAGCGTCTGCCTTCGGCTCAGGTCATGATCCCGGGGTCCTGGGATCGAGCCCCGCATCAGGCTCCC